CAAAGGGTGTAACTGTACGTCAACTACATGACTACTGAATCAGAAAGCTGATCCCTGCTTTGTGTTAATGGGAGTTTCCCAGGCTGCAGTGACATAGTGCAAGATGTTTCATGTTGCAGGATGAAGAATGTGAATGTCAAGTCAATGTATCTTCAAATCATTTCTAAGCAAGAATGCATCCTGAGCAGGAGCCTTGTGCTGGTGTGCAAGAGCAGGGTATAGAGGAAGGCCTCTCTTTCAAGAAGCCCATTTAAACATTTGCTATTTTTTCATACAGCTCAACAGCAAATATTCTTGTGTGGTGGAACAACCAGGGGTTTCACATGGCAGTTGGTTTCATCAGAATAATTTCCCTGATACTTGTGGAAATGTTCTAGAAATCTTAACTAGTCACTGATCTGGTTGACACCTGCTGGCCCCTTGTAGTTTCACTCTTATTAGGCTACCCTTGGGACTAATCTGAACTGCCTTGTGAAGTGCACATACAAAGGCAGTAAGCCTTTGTCCTACAGGAGAGAAACCCTAAAAAGAGGGCTTGGAGTGGAATTTCGCCCTCAGACTGACAAGGACCTTGGGTGAACTGGAGTGCTGTTAACATCATTTGAACATGTCTTACCAATGACTTTACCATTGCAAGATTCTTCCATCTTTCCATCTCTCATGTTCTCTGCCTGTTGCACAAAAGAGCTTAGTCTCTTGAGACCTGACATCCTTTTACGTTGTTCAAGTTAGCAATCTTTTTGTAAGTCACCAAGTAGAAATTAATGATGTGATACATGACAAGTAAGACAAGATGATCTCCTGTTCCTTTCTGCTCTCAAACAAAATGAGATGGCAAGTTTTGATTTTGTTCCTCCAGCTTTTGTGAGAGATACAGAAGTGTGAACTTGCAGGGTATTGAATGGAGTACCTTCTTTTAAAATATCCTGATGATCATCTGCTCTTCTTTACCAAAACATTTACAAGCTGTTTGGAGCTACCCTTTCCAGTTTGTCATTTAGCTGTATGCAGGTCTTCAGGGGTCCATCATCTTTTGGACTGGTATTTGTGTTCTTTTAGGTCTTTCAAAGCCAAAAGCAGAACTCTGTTAGTGTAGTTTAAAACTAGTGCAATTGTCATTTTCAGCTGCTTTAGACTTTTCTTTCTTCTTGGTCTACCTCCCTTAATTTTCTAGAGCTTTGGATTTATCTTCTGAGGCTTCCTTTGTATCCCTTGCTTCCGTGGTTGCTAATTCCTTGTCTGGGAACATAGACAGACTGAGCCATAGACTAAGACTAATTTGAACTCAGTGGTACAGAGTCAACATCAGGCTAAGGCAAGTTAGCAGAATACATGTAAGGAGGGGCAGAGCTCTTGCTCTCTGTGTCTGGAGGATTGAGCCCTCACCCCACCTCCTGCAGATGCAGCTGAGATGCAGCTTGGGCTCTGTAGTTGATGCAGCGTTATTGTATGTCAAGTGATCCCTTTAGGCAGTAGGAGTGGCAATGCTCTCCTACTTTCTTCCTTAGTACCAAACCTGCCTCTCCCTGACATTTCTCCTATTAGAAACAAGGCTCAATCCCAGCCCTGCCCTCTTCCCTCACAGCCCCAAGAAGTAGATGGAGATTGCTGAAGTGCAAGGACGATAAAGGAGGACATGGTGAAGGTGGGGATAGTCACTGTCTTGGGGAAAGGGAGTTACTGGATAGCAATGAACCATACCAAGGGAAATAAGGCAGAAAGGAGGGAAGAGAAAAGAGGAACTGCTTACACACAGCTCTGTGAAGTTTAATGATTCCTCCTCCACCCTCTTTGTTCGCCTTTAATTCCCATATCTCTGCTTTCCTTACAGGAACTCATCTGACACGTCACTATTCTCCCACTCCATATTGACCTCTTATTAAAGCCACAACACTGGAATTTTACCTGTGTGACTAAGAAGTCAGACTTCCACTGCAAGGACTTGGTCACCTCCAGGATCCTGTTCCTGTTGTCTGTAAGGTGCCACTAATAGAAGTTCATTGTTTGTCTGCATTGACTTTAGACCATGGGCTGCTATCACTAGCATTTAGAAAAAGTAGGAAAGTGCTGTCTGAGTTGAAAAAATAAAAGCTCCAAATTAGTTTGGAATCTTTTTTTTTCCAGGAGTAGCATGCAATTGTGAGTGGTTGCTCATGCCACAAGACAGTTAGGCTGTATGGTATTAAAATCTTTGTCTTGTGATGTTTAAGAGTACAACAGTGAGGAACAGGAGGCCAGGTACAAATGATAGCCCATTGATATCCACATATAGTAAAATGGAGTCAGAGTATAAATATGCTACTGGGATTAAAAATGTGTAGCACAAAGCTATGTATTATATCACCTTTGCTCCCAAGCCTTGTTAACCATCCTAGGAATTTGCTGTTCGCAGAGTGACTAAGCACTGCTTGGGATTTACAGAGATATTCTGTAGACTTTGGTTCCAAGAAGTTTAAAAGTGAGGAGAGACAGTGAGAGCTTTGTGGGCTAATCATGGGAGAATCAAAATTAAGGAACCGGTGGGGCTCATCCTCACATGTAACCAACTCTCATTTGGTGAGAGAAAGCTAAACTGACTGGATGGCTTTCACTACTTCTACATCAGTGAGATTTGGATTTATGTGTAAATTGAAATTAGAGTATTGTGGATTTTACAGCCTTAAAAATATGCAACATTTGACCGGGAAGGGCCCTAAGGAACCTGGTATATCTTTGAAGTTCAGACCAGATAACTGCCAGCTGCCCTTTCCAACACGTTACTCTTTAACTCTGTGAAATTCAGGAGACCAATTTTTGCAAATAACTGACTTTGTTCAGCTGAGAAATATTACTTACATTCTTATGTATTTAAAGAATTAGAACAGGAATAAACAGTAGGGCCCCAGGGTCAAAGTCTGTCATCTCTATGGAAATTCATTATATGAATTACCTTCCCATTGTAAGACTGCAGGCAAGCAAACAAGTGTGGTCTTGTAGCTGTACAACTCATTAATCCTTTGAATTAATTATGTCTCTTTTAATGTATGTAATTGCAAACATATATGAGGTGTGGTGGTAGAGCAGTAAAAGCCTCTTATGACAGGATCCAAAGCTGAGTCTGATCTTTCTTCCACACTTGTGCTGAAAGAAGTACTGGGGCTAAAAGAGAGGGTAACCCACCTGTACTTTCACAACACAGCAGAGTGCCAAAGTCTCTGGGACATTGTGCTGATATCTTGCTTCTTTGGGCATGGAGAGAATAAACTGCAGCCTCCTCTGTTGGCACAAAGGAGAAGCCTTGTTCCATGCTGGGTGATGGAGGTCTAATACCTGTCACCAACTTGGGGCTACATCCAGGCCTGTTGTTTAGAGGCCTGTTCTTTATGTGCCTGTTATTACAGAAGCTACAGTACCTCTGGTGTAGAAGGCTGTTGAAGTTTTTAGCTGTTAGACAAATATTCCTCTGTCTGAGATTTGAGGACTCTAGCATCCCTTCCTTAGAGGATATGTGATTTGGCAAGTCCCAAAATGATTTCAAAGTCTTCTGTCTCTGAGAACACAGGACTGAGAATGCATGCTTACTTTTTTTTTTTTTTCCCATTTGCGTATTAGAGATGAACAACTGCACAGCTGGTTAAAAAAGTGACTACCGAGGACAAGAATATGACTGCTTGTTGCTTTGCGGGCAGGAGATGTCAGAAATTAGGAGGCAGCACTGAATCCTATGTGTCTGCATACAGGAGCAGATGTACTTACTTGCATCTTCCATTTGTGAAGAAATATGTTTTAACTGATAAGAACTACAACGGCCTATAAATAATGCAGTTTTAGAAAAAATCTGCTGAAAATGGAGTGTTCTGAGGTGTTTAGATGTCCTATTTCCATGACCAGATCAACAGAAACTCCATGACAATAGTAAATGTATTGTTAGCTCTCTTGCAATAAATTTCCCCTTTTGTTATCTCCTGACCAGCAATCAACTAAGATACAGGAAAGTGAAGGAAAATATTTGAACTATTTATACACCAGTGAAGGTAGTGTCACGTTATCTTCCTTTTTTTGCAAGATCATGTTTGTTACCAGCAAGTTATGCCCCCTAGGTCCTGCCAAAGTATGTGTTATCTTGGGGGAAGAGGGAGCAGGGGGGAAGCCAAAACAAGTAGAACAAGCAAAATACTGCGTGGTGGAACTGAAAAAACATTCCATCACAGACCACCTAGCACTGGTGCCATGCTGTGCATACTGGTGTCAGGAAAAAGCATAGCTTTTTTGCAGTTACTTCATCCTGTCAGCCTGTCCCAGGTGCACTTCAAACACATGAAATGAAATTCAGTTGCTTAGACATGTTTTTATTATGATTAAAGGAGCAAAAGAGTACAACCTCAAGACCCATTACATATGGTTACATTGAAAACAATTTGAATAAGTAGTATGCCATATTTGGTCATGATGATTGAGCCAAAAAGATTTAAGGAGAAATATGAATTTTAAGATTTCTATAATGCATCTTTAGAACGTGAAGAAGAGCCTTGCAGTATCAGGAGCACAAAAAAAACGAAATTGCCTTGTCAGAGTAGGAATGGTTTGTGACTTTTGAATTTAATCTGTAGCTTTTGAGTGACTAATTCCAGAGGAGTCACCACAAAGCTTGGCCGTAGAGAAATGTGGCATAATTAGAAGGCTGCATTTTTTTCCACAAAAATTCTGCTGATAAGTGGGGTTGTGTTTTTCCAGATTCAACATTATTATTGTTAACTTGTACCAGGAACATCTCTGTTCATGCTCATGCTTTCTCTGGGTCCAATTTTCATTCCCTTAACTTTTCATGCATGAGTAAATAATATTACTCTGCAGAAAGGAAAAGCAAAGGGCCTCTATTTTCGTGGCACAGTTCCTCTGACTTCACTTTTTTTTTTTTTTTTTTTTTTTAATATAAAGCCTTCTGGATTTAGAAAATATTCATGAAAGAGAGAGTATGTGTTTCTTTTTACCCTTGATACTGCAGTGCTTTGGGTCTTTAATGTGAGGGACAGAAATTCTTTCAGCTTTCCTCTCTTTAAGGGGAAAAGCATCTGCCAAAGAAGAGGATGCTGTTGGTTGGTTTGTGCTTGATCAAGAATAGGAAAGGGTGGTCAACCCTAAATTCTTCAGAGGCACTTGTAACCTCTGTCCCAGATTCTGTTGAGCCTGCTTCATAGATTTCCACAAACGCCTCGTGGATGGCCTCAGACATCCTCAGGCTCTCTGCTGACGAGATGCCAGACAGGTTGGCTGATGAACTGAACAGGTCGGTCACACCCAAGGCTATTAAGACAGATGTCAGGTTATATTTTTCCTCAATGCTCATGCGAGGGAGATACACTTTAATTTTCCTCTCTTCCATTACACTAGCACTGGTCCACTCCGTGAGTTTTTCAAAGGTAATTGCCGTCTCAAGCTGCAAGGAGACAAGCAAATTAGATCTCTAGGATGAGAGCACAACTTCCTTTGTGTCAATACAATACCAGTGGTGGTTTTTTTTTAAACTGACTGCTATTGGCATGGCATTTTTTTCTAAGTATATACAAGTTAATGTATTTAGGAGAGGAGAACAAACTATGACTTCTTCTTCTCTTCTCTGTCCTGCATACTATTTCTTTAATAGGCTCACTGCCAATTAGTTTTCTTAATGAGATGGATACTCAGCAAATTTCACCTAAAGCGCTTCCCTATTTACCTTCTTTGCTTGGGAAATGTATTCCAAAAATCATTCTGTGCTTATGCATTGTAGGCTCTATCTACATTTAAGACCTCCAGGTAACCAGGTGTTAATGGTAACCAAGTACTAATACCTGAATTATCAGTTATCACTGAGGAAATTTAGCTGTGTTCAAATGCCTCTTCATTTTTATAATTTAGATTCTTTGAGTTAGTGCACAAACATTTCATTCAACTCTCATTTATTACATAACTTTTCCTATTCAGACTAACTGCAGTCCAGCTAATGACAATATCCCATGCCTGTAGTCTGTTCATATCAACAATAGTATGTCAGGTACATTTTATTTTCTGAAATTGCTTTAACTATTCCAGTACGCCTCATTCAGTTACAGATAGTTTAATTTTTGAAGGTATAAAGGAGGCATGCTGAGCACTGCCAAACCAAACAATAATTACAAGTAGTAAAGTTAACATGAACTTCCCAGGAAGCTCTTCAGCATACAAGAATGAAGATACAAAACCTCTGGAGTTCAAGCTGCTGGAGTAACAGCTGCTTAGTCGAGAAGAATCTGTTCTGCACTGACCAATATTTAGCCCACTAAAGCAGTTCCTTAAGCAATGCAAGCTCAGCACAAACTATTGCAGGACTAGGGAGACAGCTGCATGCTTCTCTACAACAATCCCGTATTGCCAATGTTCAGATCTGTACTGGTGATGTGTTTTAGGATATCTTTATCATGAAGAGCTTTGCAGCACCTAAATTTCACTGTGTTTATGGTTTTCTGAAGCCCAGCTGCTAGGGCCATACCTGCTCCAGGCCAGAGACGTCATCGGGCAAAATGACCAACATGCTCAGCTGTCCACTGGCGTATGGAAGCTCCAAGATCTTAATTTTCTCAGCGGCTATCACTGCCACTTTAAATGAACCAATCTGATACATCATCTGCACAGGTTTGGTTTCTTGCTGCAAAACCAAATAAGATAATATAGTTTTCACGAAGGTTATTCTTAGAGTGTGGAAGTGTCTATTTATGGTTAAAACTAGCAACTGCTCTTGTTCGAGAGGTTATATAACAACTTATCTACTCTCTTCATAAACTCTAAAAGATGACATCTTTAAGGTATGCCCATGTACCTCAGTCATTCTGAAAGGCACTTCCTGGGTGTCTTCATCCTTGAATGCTTTCTCCCAAATTCCTTTGAAGTAAATGGCATTGACAAGGACCATTTTAGTCTGGGAATCCACAGAGCCCGGTTGAAGGATATCTTTGATCATTCCTGTAAGAATGTATAAGAAAAGAGAACACGTGTATATAACACATCTGTGTATAACACATCTTGGCAATCACAACGTCAAATGAAGAGTATCAAATCTTTGGGGAGGAGGGTGTAGGAAAGGGACACTGTTCTGTTTTTGCAGCTGTAATCCTGTATTTCCAATGTTGATTTCTTCATGGCTGTTGGCAATAGCTGTTGTTTCCCTCTCTGTAAAGAATTATGAGTGATATAAGACCCAGAGATTTACTTGTTACAAAATGAGTAAACCTGTATATTTTGTGACAGTGAAAAGAACCATGGAATCTTTTATCTCAGGGTGATCTCCAACCCAAACAGTAAACATAAATATTTAATAAATACTGAACATACAAACATAAATACTGAAACATAAATGCTTCAAACCAAAATTGGAAGAAGATGTCTATATAAAGAACATAGCAGGAAAGGAAACCAAAATTTTACTCTGCTTTCTTCTACTTTGTTCTTGTTTATTCTACCATCCTCATGCATACAGCAAGCTGTTCCCTTAGTCCTTTCCCACCATTAGCTCAGTCATGGGCTGGTTTTCTCCTTCAAAATATGATACCACACCAGAGGTTATGTGAATGTGTGTATTTTCATTTCAGTTAAAATTCAGCATTTTATCTGTGTTTGCTCTTCAGACCATGTGTTTCAAGAGACCGGAAGAATGGAAGAACCTCATGGAGATGCTGTAGAGTAAAAATCCCAATTGTGTTATACCTCTTTCTATGCATTTCATACACCTCCCTACCATTCCTTAACTCTGTGGTTTTCCATTGCCCTTTACCTGTTAAGATTTCTCAAGTACCTTAGGAACACATGCCCTACTCAACAGGCATACAACAACTCTCAGAAGCTTGTGAGCAAACCACACTGATCAAAGGATACCAGATTCTCAACATTAGTGTCAAACCAGTTGTCAGTGTGTACAAAACACATTCTAGTGCTGTCCCTTTCATCAGGACCGAAAGTATTACATACCCACAAAGCACCTACAGATAAAGAGTCCTCTAAGAAGGATGTGTCTGAGAAAAAAAAAAAAGTTAAATGGTAGTTCCATATCTGGGAACTGATCTATTATCCAGGGGAAGGAACAGAGGGAGAGGTTTGGGGTTTTTTGTCTCCTGAAGTAAGTATTCTCATATGCTGTTCAAATATGGTGGCAGAAGGGAAAATACCTATGCCAATACTTAGCTTGCTCTTACCATTTGTCTGACTTTCAACCCAGGCATTGATGAGCTCTCTGGCTTGATATGCAGCTGTTTGAAAGCTGATACTTTCCAAGCCTCCTTTATACAGTTCCTTCACGCATTGTGAGTATTCCTGCAAAAGAAGAGTATGCAGTTTTCAGATCAGAATGTCAAAGCATTTTGTACATTTGAAATGCAAGACTGAAATTAACAGATATGAATAATCTGCTTATTAAGGCTATCAGTAAGGCATGATTCTAGTTCATAAGCATCTTATGATTCATTGCTTCAGGAAAGAGTATGTGCTCACATTTTTAAAAATATTTTCCAGGACTGAGTTTAATCCAAAAATGGCATTCATTTCAGTTGAAGTATGGTTGTTTTTTTTTTCCATTTTGCTCACTTCTAAACTTTTTTATTTTGCAATGGTATTCTCCTTTCATTTCAAATTGAATGTTCCTTTCAATGGGAAAACTTGGAATATTTTTGAGAACCTGAAGTTATTTTTCAGGTTTTTTTACAAGTTGAGAAGACATTTGGAGTTAATCCAACAAAAGTTACCTTTATCAATTATACCTTAACTTGGTTGGATCATGATTGTACTTTGCACAAATATCTTTTTGGCTAGGCACATTTTTTTCTCAAGACTGTAAAGGGTTAGAGCTATGATATAGAGGTCATGAATGCTGTCTTCTATATGGAAAAAAACTTTTTTAGCAGAACCTAGACTTCCAACAATGCTTTTGCATTACAGAATGGTACAGTTTTGACATAGAAATACACTCAGATCAGATCTTAGAGCAACTCACCGGTAGGATTGGGTACGTCTCTTCAGCGTAAAGTCTACTGGCAAAGCTGAGTGAATAATTGTCACTTAGTTTGGTGATTTGGTTGGACATGTCTTTAAGTGAGGTGTGGGCGCTTACAGATGTGCCGCACTGAATCGTTGGCATGAATGCAAATAAAAAGATAGATGATGTTATTCTAGTTTTAGTAGTTAGTAGGTTTTTCATACTACATGAGAAGAGTAGAGTAGTTTAGACATTTCTGCTTACAAAACTGTTCATCCTATATGTCTTGTTGCTATAATTACACTGAGGTAGTAACTTTCTAATATATACAGTTATGTGCTCTTTTTCTACTGTCATTTCCTCATACCTCTCTCAGGGGTACTCTTAATTACCTGCTACAGTAATCTAGTTCCAGCAGATCAGGTAGACTTTTCTACATTCCCAACCAGTCCCATTTAACCAACAACATCCAGCTACCTTGCCTAAGCATACAAAGATCTATAATTTTCCATATTTTCCCAATATGATGATATTGGGTTTCATGTTATGCTTGTTCTGAATCTGCTGTTTCCTTCCTTCTCTCTCTATTTTTATGAAAAAAAGAGTTGCCCCAACTGCTGGATGCAGAGCACTAGCTGCTCATCGAAGAGTGGTTGGAACTGCTTTATCTGCTAGATTTTGCTCCCAGAAAAAAATGACGTAGAGAAGGAGATGAAATTATTTATGTACCTGAGATTCAGAGGACTCTCCAAATCCTGCGATTTTATCAAAGTGAACAACCTGTAATTAAAAATAACAGTAGTTGAAATAACAGGTATGACAAAGAAAGAAAAATTATGCAGCTGAGATTAACATATGATAATACTAATTTTCTTCCAGGTAAGAAGCCAGCCACCATCTGTGAATGAAGTGAGAGCTGTAGGAAACTCATGTGAAACATTTTGCAGTCTGGAGACATGTTTTGGCTCTTTCCCTGGAGATTTTATCTAATTTCCTTACTCTAAACAAAGGACCAATGGAATGTGATGTTCTCTTTGAGAATCCTACTGCTAACAATGATAAAATTAAAATTTAAATCCAGTTTCGAGATTTCTAGCTGATGAATTTATTTAACACTATGGGAGTTTGAGGTGGCCACAGCTTTTGATAACTCTAGATCCAGATTTTTTATCCTCTGAGCTATGCAAGTGACATTATCATATAATTAAGTGCTATAGCTCTGCTGAGCAGCAGGAAGGTTTAAATTCTTAACTGTAGCCTCACCTTATCTATCTGAGCCCTGGTGTTTTCTCTTGCACCCAAGTAGACCATGGACAGAGCTGAAATGATGCTCAGGGGGGAGTAGAAGATGTTCTCATTGACATGCTGGACTTTCAGCTCCTTGAATACATCAAAACAAAACTCCGTGCTTGCTGCACCGATGGAGCCCATTGTGAAACCAGTATTGTCTAGAGCAAACAGCAGAAATACAACGACAGTGCAATGATAGAATACTGTGCAAACACAGCCCAATGCATTTTAATAGTAGTTTTTAGGCAGTGAAATATAAACAAGTAGTTTTGAAGTAATTCTGTAGTGACATACCTATTGCTATGCTCACCTATCATGCATGTTAGAAACTCTTTATTCGTAAGTCTTTTTCTTTCTGCATTTGTATTCAGTTGCCTTTTTGGCAGTACAGTTCCTCAGAGGTCTTAAATGTGTATGTGATTTCTGTTTACCTTTTCAAAGCAGTCAAACAACAATTGCCTGCACTTATTTTCATTCAGTGATGGCTAGAATTCCTTGGTACTTTGTAGTACCTTTCATGAAAACAAGAAAATGTGATCCGGTTTTGATATATTTGAAAAGCTGGAAATTTAAAGTGCAAATTTTTGTAGTCTTAGGTTTGGACAGATGTAAGTAAAAGCAGAGGCCAGCTGACTATTTTTATTTTCTAAAAATAAATAAGTGCAGTAAAATATCTATTTGTTGCACAATACTTATTGTCAGATCTTCAAAGGCTTATATCTTTACCCTTGTTTTAGTAATGGAAACATGGATAGGCAATATAATTTGTCTAAGGTCACATAGTCTAGGAGAGAGACTGATGTACAAAATTCATATACCACCTTATTGTGCTTTCAGATATAACTTGCTTTGCTTAAATATATCTATATATATTACACGATAACCTTTCTGAGAAATTAAATTTTGTTAGTGACATTCAGATAGAATAGAAATACAGACATGATAAAATAGCAGTATCTACCATAATACAAGACTTTAAAATTAATATTTGCTTGTGGCATAGACCAGTAGAAGCTTTATATTTGTTTCTGTCTGAGGCTGCTATGAAGTGCTGGACGGTGTAAGTCCTGTGTACTCTCTGTGCTCATATAAAGCAGAACTTTTGAGGTCAGTGTGAATCTAGTTTCCTTCCTGTGATATATAGAAATTGTGGAAGTCTGTTTTCTTTCAAAATCCTTCTCCTTATGTAGGTTCTTAACAGTGGGATCTCAACTTTGGAGTATTAAACTCAACCAAGATTTTTAGTGACCTTGCTCATGAGTATACACATGCACTCACACACACTTTTCTTCCACTTTCCTTTCTGTATACAAGTTCACATTTATATATTATTGTAAAAATACAAGACTGTACATCCCCACACATTCTTATCCTGTGTAGTGTTCACCAGCTCTATTTTCCAGGGATGAAACTGTTAGAGAAATTTTAAACTAAAATAAACCTAGCAAATTCACTGAATGCCACATTTTTTCTCTCAGTGCACCCTGTTAAACCAGAGGTCAGTCAAGCAAACTTATTATTTGGCTGCCAAAATCAAACTTGTAAGATGCTGAATTAGAGGATAAAATGCTCTGAAATAAAATCATAAACACAAAATAAAAACTTTTTAAAAATCTCCTGAAAACAAATGCTCGGGGTTTACACATAATAAAATGGTGTAGAACACATACACACAGGTGAGAAGATTTGTAAAGAATATCATGTAAACATTCTGTCCTTAAAGATACTAAACACAACACAATAATTGCTTTAAGTTTAGGCATAAACAAGAAATAATATAGTGAGAAGGTTAATTTTCCTGGAGAAATGCTTACCTTTCAAGCTTCAGTACCAAGGGCAATACAGCTTTCCAGCTGTATGTAGACAGACTGGCTGAGCCCTTGGGAATTTATACAGTCTGAATTGTGACCCACCCGCTGCTGCCCTTCAGAAGTTTGACCTTTGACATCATAAAAATAATTTAATGGGATTAGGTCAGTTTTTAGTTTCAATGGGTCTGTTTTTGATTGAAGGGAGAGCAAATATTAGGTTTTTATTCTGTATAGCAAAGTGTTTTCCACCAGTACATCAGGACCGTTGGATTGGAGAAAAGACTGAGAAATAATGCTCACGTTCCTTTAAGCCTCATTTGCAACTAGTTACTGGGATGTTCATAAAAACAAAAAATGTAAAACACTTACTGATGGAAAACATAATTAGCAGTTATTAGTCAGTCTATCAGTAATTAGTCAATGTGTTACTATGGTTGTAGTAACAGATCAGAACTGTTTTCAGTTGATCCTTTTTGAATCTAAAAATGCAGCTGAGCCATACTAGACAAAAGGTAAGTGAGAATGGGACTTGGCCTATTATTCAACTAACAAAACTGGGGAAATAGAAGATGGTGCATGTGAGAAAGCCAACAGAGATGAAAGCCAAAAGCAGGCACATTTTCTTTGAAAAGGTAGGATATTTTAAAAAGATATTTTGATGAGTTTTCAGATTTTTTAGCACACTAGTCTATTCTCAGGGAGTAATAGCAAAACATAGCCCCAGACAAAGTAAAAAGTAGTCATTTCCAAATGTGTCTGTGGTATGCACTTGCAATGTAATTCTCAGATCTTCCATGGGCAACTTAATGGCCTGGCAGATGACAGAGGAACTGTGAAATCCAGCTAGAGGAGTGTTCATGGTCTATAGAACAATCATAATATACAATTGCATATATATTTCAGTTATAAAAACATTTCAGTTATAAAAGCTATTGTTCTGTGTTGAAATAATAGAATAGACAAACAGTAAAGAAACCATTCTGACCTCTGGAAAGCACTATGTGATGTTTAAGAAAAAAGGGGGGGGAGGCAGAATTGCAAAGTCAGTATGACATAATACTTTAGAACGTGTATGGAGACAACTGTGATCTCTGTTAAGGAGAAGAGGTAGGCTCAGGTACTGCTGTCAAAAGTTTAGACAGTGCGGTTTTCTTTGCCTCAGTCGTCTCCCTTTTGTGAAAATAGACGTGCCATAGAAATCTGCAGTCTCCTTGTCAAGTTGTTGTCACCAAGGCAGTCTGAGGACTTAAGCAAGACAAGATTGTAGTGGAAGTGTTATTTTTTGTTAGATCCCTGCTCCACAGGTATCAGCCAAGTGTTTTGGTCTTGGCTGAGTTTTTTGTTTTCCCACAGATACTCTGACATACAGGTATCTGTACTTAAGCACAGAATAATTCTTCTCATTCTTAAGTCAGACCTACTGCTTCTGCTATAAGAAAGCCTAAAAAGCTTGCTTGCTTTTTCTTATGATAGTGCTTCTCATAAACCATTATCCCTACCTATAAAATATTTATTACTATGTTGATGGAGAAAGGGAATGGAGAATGAGTCTCTCAGGTGTGTTGTTAATCAAAAATCCTCCACCATCTGGTCAAAGACCAGTAATGGGTTGTGTACGTGCATTCTACTTAGCTCTTCATATCTGTTTGTTAATTTACAGATCAATCTATACCAGGTGGTCCTGCCACACTGAAAAATCCTGTGAAATCACAAGGAAAAGGAGGACAGTTTTGCTTCTCACTGAGTCAAGGAACTGTTTACCAGCCATACAGGTGCTGGAGAAGACATCCAGTATCAAAAGGATACTTCCAGATATTTTAAAGCATTAAGACAGTGCTACCATAGCTGAGAAGAATGGTCCTTGAGAGGGAGGCAGAAAATTTCAATCTTTCTAGAGGCCTGGTCTGAAACCATGTCACATGGATACAGCCAGGGGACTGGGCAGCTCAGCTAGTGCCTCAACTCCTAGCCCACCCTCCCCTGTGTTCAAAGGGAGAGCAGCTGTAAGGATGAGCAAGCCTTGTAAAACTACAAATGGTGCTTTTTTAATGGAAACCCTCTGGGAGAAGCTCTATCCTTGGCTGAGTTGTCAGATGGAGGATCCTCAATAATTTCTGTCTTCACTACAGGAAAGGGGTGAGCTATCCACTACGACCAAAACTATCAGCCATTTTGTCTGAGCAGACACCAGGTCAGGTCAGTAAGGGAAAGGTGTTTCCAGAGTAACTCTGGCGTATATAATTAAGCAATTAAGCTTTTCTTTTTCTTTTTTTTTTTTTTTTTTTATTACTTACATTTTTATGAATATAGTTCAATGTATTGCCTCCTTTGGATGTTTTGAATAGGTGCTTTTATTAACTCTTCACCATGACCTGTCTTAAGAGTGGTGAATGACAACAGGGTGTTTCTCACACAACAGTTTGGTGTACCAGTGAGCCAAAGCACTAAACACTTAAACAGGTACCCACATTCCCTCTTCTGTATCCCCTGGCAGAGTGGGTCCCCATTTCATTTGTGTAGCTCAGTAGGTGATGTGGTACCACAGACATCAGGAGAGGCAGAAGTGCTTTCTAGTGCTAGGTGGCCAGAAGAATATCTGGCATATAATAAAATACTGGGAGGTATGCCTGGACCCTGAGAGTCACAGGTAGTATATCACACCTTGTTTTGCTTTTAAACTTCATGTCCACAAAATAATTGTTATCGGGAGTCCTTCAAAGCTGAAGATGAAAAGGCTGAATAAAACATGCCAAAGTGGGCATATGCTGATAATGCTAAACTAGGAGGAGCTGTGGACTCCCTTGAGGGTAGAGAGGCCTTACAAAGAGATCTGGATAGGTAGACAGCTGGACAATCACCAACCATATGAAATTTAACAAAAGCAAGTGTGGATTCTCCCCCCAGGATGGGGTAATCCTGGTTCTATATACAAATAGGAGGATGAGAGGATGGAGAGCAGTCCCACAGAAAGAGATCTGGGGGTTTGAGTTGATGGCAAGCTGAATACGAGTCAGCAATGTGCCTTGGCTGCCAAAAGGGCCAACTGTGTCCTGGGGTTCCTCAAGCACAGCACAGCTAGCCAGTCGAGGGAGGTGATTGTCCCACTCTACACTGCACTGGTGCAGCCCCACCTCAACTACTGTGTGCAATTTTGGGCAGCTCAGTGAAAAAAGGACATAAAACTATTAAGAGTGCACCAGAGGAGAGCAACCAAGATGGTGAAGGCCTCAAGGGCAAGACCTACAAGGAGCAGCTGAGGTCACTTGGCTTGTTCAGTTTGGAGAAGAGAAGGCTGAGGGGGACCTCACCACAGTCTACAACTTCTTCAAG